CGTCATCCCAAACACATCTATAGTACGGCAACTTTTCTTCGCCTTCAATGACAACCAATCCTGAGGATCCGAGCCATCATTCGTACAGCAAATCCCATCCCTGGACGAGGAAGCAAATGAAGCCGCGTCACTATTATCCAAAGTCCGGGAAATCAACGCGATCAGAGTATGTGCGCACGCGCGTAGTGCACAGCCAATTGTCTGCAGCGAGCCGTGGATAGCAAGGCCTATAGAATCGGTAAATGGTATCGTGGGTAGAGCTTAATTCATTCGTGTCGGCCCCCCTCGACATCAGGTTCAGGAATGGCGAGATGACGGCTCGCTGCCGCGGCACTTGACCAGCAGATCGACGAAAGGAAGCAAACCCGGATGGGGCGGCGACTCATGTAATATGGGTACAGGTTCTGAATGTTGGTCTTCGAAGGTGGAATACGAGTGTAATAGAGTGGTGCGAGACGAGACGACGTTGATCTCAGGCGCGCTTGGACAGGGTTTCTGCCTGAGGCCGTCATCGACTTTGCATTGACGTCCACTCTTGACCCGCTCTTCATGATCTTACATATCACGCATAGCTTATTCACACGCTGCATCTTCGGCTTACCATACCAGTGTCGAAGTTCATTTCTCTGTGCCTGGTACCACTCGCGGTCTGCCCTGAAAGACGCCGAATTATCACACTTCCCAGGCACATCAAATCCAAATGATCGACAGCATCAAGCTCTAGGCCTGAGTCTTAGCATCATCAACATGCATCTCACGATCAGCACCGGCTACGACCCATATATCCATGTTCTGCACAAGAGCACGAAATCCAGGCATGCGCCCGAAAAGTGCAGGGAGGTCTACCGCACGTAGGCCACCTAACCCTACTTTAGCCCTCGAACCGTGCCCATCAAGCTACTGTCTTCATCTGCAGCAATGCTTAATCTCGCAACACGGACTCCACCGTCCCAAATTCTTGGAAATCCACGTAGGCGACCACACTCACGCTTGCCCATAATGTTTACCCCAGACAGCCCCTCGTCTTCCCCAGCATTGGCACCTTTGCCTCTTCTGGTCCTGTCTCCTCGATTTAGTCTCTGTATGGTCATCCTATTCGGGTTGATATTGGCGAGAGAAATAACAGCCAGCATCGCCATATCGCCTCTCCTTTCCGTGCCTCGTGATCCGGTTGTGAAGTTCAGCCGACGCACGCGAGCAATATGCCCACATTAGCATCCGTCATCACTCTCCTTATTCCCACATCCTTCATCACCACCCCCTCCATCCACCCACACACCGGGTACGGCAAACTCCGAGGACGCATCCGATCCGACGTATATAAGTACATCCCTCCGTAGTCTTCATCCGACCGTCAGCACCAACCAACTCCACTCATTCCACCAACACTCCTTTCCAACCAAATACACTCGCTAGAATGAAGTACTCAATCATCCTCGGCTTCGCAGCCGTAGCCCTCGCTCTCCCGCAACGCGGTTCGTCCCTCCACCCCAGCACACAACCCAACTAACCCCATCAGGCCAACGCGGCGGCGGCGGCAGCCCTCGTGGCAACGGTGGTGGTTACCGCGGTAATGGCGGCGGTCCCCGCGGCAATGGCGGCGGCTACCGCGACGGCGGCCGGGACTGGGACCGCGGAGGCCGTCCCGGCGGCGTGGTGGTCGTCGGTGGCGGCCCCAGCTGGGGACCCGGCGGGTACTACGGTGACAGCATTGTCGGGGACATTGCCGGCGGGTTTGCGGAGGGGATTGGCGAGGGGATTGCCGATGCACTCTATGGCGACTGGTGGAACAGGAAGGATGCGAATAACCCTGAGGGTGCGGAGGGCGCTGAGGCTGCGGAGGGCGCAGAGGTTGCGCCTGTACCTACCGAGGAGCAGGCTGCTCCAGTTGAGGCTGCGCCACCTGCTGAGGTCCCGGCTGTGGAGGAGGTGAAGCCGCAGGAGCCTGCTGCGCTTCCTGCTCCTGCTCCTCAGTAGGAGTTGGAGGGCTGGCTTAAATGATTGCTGTCAGTGTAATTTCTTCTTGTTTGATGTCTTGGTGCAGACAGTGTTGGCGAAATGAAGGACGGGCGCCAAATGTAAATACATTCGCAATTCAGAGTGCCTCTGCGTTCTGTGATCACTCTTTCGCGTTTCTCGGGACTCTTAGCCGGAGCTCCTTGAGCCAAAGTCACGGAAAATGTGTCCAGTCCCAATAGCGGCATACAGTGCTGGCCATATCTGCACTTTGTCAATGAGTGAACATTAACGCTCACATCGCAAAAAGTTACGTGGCCAGTGGTGAACAACAGTCTCCCCGGAACCGGAGTTGCAGCTTCCTGGTAGTCTGATTCCCTGGAAATGATACCGGGTTTGAGTGCTAAACCGATAATTCACTTTCAAGCTTCTCCAGGCACTATTAAAATATCGAAATAGCGGAGGGGACAGGATTGATGCTGTAAAGCCTTGATCACGTTTCCTCTGACGTTCAAATTGGCCCATCTCGTTATTAGTGCCTTATTCTTGCCTGAAGATCAAGGCATAAGGTCGCGTCGCGTCGCCGAACCTCCGATGAGATCACTTCAAGCCACTGCATGCCCCTCACTCTGTATTGATCTGCATTTCGAACTCGTAACTTTTTGCGGCGAGCTCCTAGCAACATGGAGTCCCTATGCAGTACGCTGCATTTGGGTGAGAAGACTATTCATGGCAAGCACCAGCTCAATTCTTGCTCTGCAACGGCTAACTCGCACAGATCTCCACCTTCATCCTGCTGGCGCTCCGACAGCATCTTCGAACCCACAGCCCCTCGAATTGACCCTCCTAGCCCTCGTCGACCCCTCTCGGATCCCATTATACCTAGCCTGCGGCCCCAGCTACCATGTCTACAGCGGATCCGAAGAGACGGAGGAATGGCTCAGCGATACCCTCTTCAGCACCCCGATAGCGAGCGATGGGAGCTGCTCGGAGACATGGTGGACCACCGGAACGCGACAGTCGGCGGTTGGAGTCCTCGTACGGATTGTACCGACACCAGAGAACCAGAAAGTGCTCCGCAAAGCGACAGAACTTCTGTTCTACGGAGTGATGGAAGGCCTGGATGGCAACTATCCCATCCCATCGTCAGATACGGCGACCGGTGACGCCTCAACCGCACAGCATGAACCTGTTTTCCGCGTCCGCGCATTACCCTTATGCTCAGACATCCACGCCCTCATCAACACCCCCCTCTCCCCGCCCCTCTCCCCCGCCCTCCCCGCAACCGAAGACGGAGCCCAATTCCTCCCCTCCTTCCAGGAAATGAAAGCCACCGCCCTCGCCACCCAAAACAAGCGCAAATACGTCGCAGACATGTTCGATGCCGCCACCGAGCGACGCAAGAAGGCAAAACGGGAAGGCGGACAGAGCGTGTCTGCCGCAGCCGCACGACTAGACCCCATCCGGCCCGTGACGAGCTACATGTCGCAGCCGAATTCACCGCTCGAGGAGACGCAGGCCGAGTCTGGGGCTCGTGAGCGGGATCCCAGGCGCCATGTCGCGAGGTCGCGCAGTGTGTCTGAGAATCTGCTTGGGAGGAAGGGGTTGCTGGATGGGCCGGTAAAGCGCTCGCCTCTGTCGCGCGTGCAGACTAGTGCGGCGCTTGTGTCGGAGGATATCACTGAGGCTAAGAATAAGGAGACGTTGTCCAGGCTTGTCATGGCGGGAATGCGCTTCTATGGCTTGACACAGCGCAAGAAGCGGACGAGTCGCCACCCGTCTATGGCCTCTATCGACTTGGCGGGGATGGATAAGCCTCTGGCAGAGGAGGATGGCGACAAGGATGAGGAGTACAAGCTCGTGTATCACCAGGCGTACAAAACTTCAGCATTCGCATTCGTAAGTCGTCAATTGGTAGAAGTCCCGCGACACAATACTAATACATTACAGAGAAAGCACATAGCCACCACACTCCTCCAACCCTCGCAGTTACAAGCCACAATTGACCGCATCCTCTCCCTCCTATGCACCGATCCCCTCGCCTCGCCCCTTATCCCAAGCGAATGAAACCCAGCCGCTATCACCGCTCCACCCATACCCAGGCCACGTCATCCACTCAAATCATCCCCACCGCCCCCCATCTCCGACGCCTCCGTCCGGAACTGTAATCATAGTGACTCGGCCTATGCCCATCCATCCATGGCTCGAACCAATAATCATCCGGCCAGGCCCGGGCACCATATCCCGGAAACCCGCGAGGGCCGAACCGATTGCGCCCCAGGCGCCCCATGAGCGGATCATACCCAAGCCAGTCCAGGCCGGGCCGTTGCCGCAGTGCGAACGGGGCCCTATCCCAGAGCGGGTCGGGGTCGAAGTATGCGGGCCCTTCGCGGGCGTAGAGGGCGGTTTGGTACATGTTGGATTGAGGTATGTTGTTTCTGACTTTGATTTTGACTTTGATGTGGACTTACGTTCTCGCAGGAGTGAGGGGGCTTATATGCGCTTTTGTGATGTGAATGATGGTGTCAGGGCTGTTTGTGCGGTATCAAGCGGCCACGAAGGGTCGTGAGGGAGTAGCAAACATGACGCCAAATCTCATGACAGTTTCTGGATGTAGGGCGGCATCTGTGGCACGTCCCACGAGGAGCGAGCTGGACCCTTTCTTTGATGTCAACGTTCCGCGGCCCGGCCGGAGCGGCTTCCAGGTGGTGAAGTTTGAGGAGCGGTTTGCTACCCGCTGCTTTTGACTGACTGCCGCTTATGAGGCCACAGCCACCCCCACACGATGTTCGATATCGCCACGTTCTAGCGTCATAGCTGGTGTGACAGAAGATCAGACGCTCTTGATGTCGGTGAGCAACTGACCCAGTTACCTACGTCGGCATCGCTTCGAACTTCCCGACACGTCATGAGGGGGAGTCATGGCACCACAGGAGAAGGTACCAAAAAAACACCACGCGCCCTCAATCAGCCCACCTAACAACACACCCTCCGCCAAAGAAAGTCTCCCCTCCGCCTCACTTCGTTCACCAGGCAAAAGATGATGACAAGAGTGGGATTCGAACCCACGCCTATTACTAGACCAGCACGTTCAACTCCGCTAAGAAGTCGAACCTGAAGCTGGCGCCTTAGACCGCTCGGCCATCTTGCCGCTTTGATGGTGAGAGAAGAGGTGAGCAGGTCTACGACACGGCGGGTCTGCGGCGCGCCGGTCCGGACGACCGGACGCTGGTGACGGGTTTTCACAGGGCGGGCGGCACCCGCCGATCGTTGGTGAGGGGTTTCCACGAGGCGGACCTGGACCCGCTGGGCCGGCACGCGATCACGCACTCACCCGCGTGGCTAGCGCGTGGAACGCGGCCAGGGCGGGGCGCGTGGATTTCCAGAAGCGTATGCAGGGTCGCACTCGTACGCCTGATTGTGACTGGAGGGTGACGATGGGTTACGTCGGCGAGGGAGGTGACGTTTCTGGAAGCCGTATGGTTGTCTGCTTAGGTGATGCAAGAGGGAAGATTGAGTTGTTCGTCTTACTTTGGATTGTTAAGGATGTGACGTCTCTGTCGGGATTGGTTGTTCTAGTCGTCTTGTGAAGGCGCAGGTCTGGTTGGGATCTATGGCAAGTTGCGGGCCATGGGAGGCTGATGGACTCCTGAGTACCCTGTACCGCCCTGTTTTGCCCGCCAGGGTATCAGGAAACAAGTGTTAATTTTGTCATCGAATTATCTGGCAAGGTGGCCGAGTTGGTTAAGGCGTCAGGTTAAGGTCTACCTTAGCACAATATCCTGATTCAGAAATGAGCACGAGTTCGAATCTCGTCCTTGTCAACATCTTTTGCCAATTTCACATTGGTGATTCTTCCCTTTTGCCCAAAGAGTTGGGTTTTCTTAAAGCGGGAGCAAATTGCGGCATCGACACAACACAGTATGAAGCGGCAGGGCTACGACAGCTTATCGATATGGCAGCTAATGTCACTTTTTGCATCCGCAATGCTCAGCATGATAACGCGTAGTTGACTTGGGAAAGGACCGACGTACTGTAAGCTTTATGCGAACAATAATGACCACAGGTTAAGTCCTTCGACAAGAAGCCTCATGCCCTGCCTTGGTCTTTGGCAGTATTAACGGCATGAAAGCTATACACATTAGGAAAGGATACCAACTGTCTCCCCTCCCTCAACCCATCCCCCAACCCAGCCCCCTAGTACTCCGCAATAACAGTAACCTCCTCATCCTTCAACCCCATCTCCTCCCCCCTCCCATCCATAAATTCCTTCTGCACCTCCACCTTCCCCGCTGCCCCTCCACTCCCCTTCTCCATACCCCCATGAATAACCCCCCCAAGCCCCTCCCCAAAGTAATCCGGCACAGCCCTCCCATCCACCCCCCACCCCCTAATCGCCTCAAGCACCTCCACCGCCAACCCCCCATCTTTCCCCAACGCCCTCACCCAATGCCCCGGCAACCCCCCCTCCCCATCCTGCACATCCCCACCTACCACCAACCCGCGCGCCGCCCCGCCCACCGTCCACCGCCTAACCGCACTCCTCGGCCTCGCCTCCGAACACACGTACTGCACGCGCCGTAGGCACGGGTGCGTGCTCGTAGAGCGGTAATACGCAGCGAGTGCGCGGACAGCCGCGTGGGTCAGCTCAGGTGAGGACCATTTCTCGCCCATGAGAGCCAGGGCGTAGAGGGGGGTTAGGTCGTTTTCGCGCGAGCCAGGTGGGAGTACGGCGCTGTAGAGCCAGGAGACGAAGGCGGCGAAGGCGGCGGGGTCTTCGTCGGGGAGGCCGATGAGGTGGATTTTTTTCTGGTCTGGGCCGGCAGGGGCGGTTGAGGGGGAGCGGGCCTTGGGCGAGGCGGGCGGGGAGGGGGGGAGGGTGTTGGGCTTGGTGAGGGGGTGGGTTGGGTCGGTGGTTAGGGGGGGGGATTTCCCGGGCGGGGTGGGTGGGGTGGTGATGGGTGGTTGGGGTTGGAAGATGGAGGTGAAGAAGGGGGCTTTTGTGCAGAGGAGCTTTTCGTGGAGGACCCAGTGCGTGTTCTCTGAGCCGACGTATATATCCACGAGGTCGCGGGTCAGGAGTCTGCCGGGAAGGTCAGTAAGCAGATAGACGATTAGGAGGGGAGGCGGACTCGTTAAGAGGCTGAGACGTGGACATCTTGCCAACGGGATGGGATTGGGCGGCCTAGTGCGAATCTGATATCCAGCCCTCGACAACCGTAGAGCTCGAAGGTGTAAAGCCGAATCACCCGTTCTTAAGGCGGGACTCGCTACTTATGTCCCTCACACCACTGGGTCTGGGACCGTGACGACACGCCGCACAGATCCGGGCACGTGCGTCGAGGCGTATATTGTATCACTCACGGTGCGGCTGGGGAATCGGGGATCTGACCGTTACATTCTAACGATGCTGGGGCGTGCTGCAGCTCCGCGCTTCATGACAGAGCAACACTGCTGAGCTGGGCATATTTACGCGTCCAGACGATGTTGAAGATGCTGGTGAAGGAGTGCGGTCAGCGCTCCGCTGTTATCCGGGCCTTGTGGGGCGAGGATGGAGACGGATGGGGAAGGATGAGTTCTGGAGGGCGAACTGGGAATGATGTTAGCGAGGGGTCGTCGCTGGCCGGTGATGGGATTAGGATGTACCATTAGTGACTACGGAGGTATGAAGATCTGATCGCGGGCAAAGGCTCTCAACAAAAGTACAGTAATTCGCGGGGCAGCGGTCGATCGTGACATTGAAGCGATCGTGACATTGAAGTTGACGTCGCGCAGCTCCGACCCCCGACAAGCCGCAAGCCATCACAAGGCACCCCCAGGCATCAACCTCAAACTTCAACCGCACCTCACCTCCGCCCTCCGCAACCCACACCAACACCACAATGTTCCGCTTCCCCGACTCTCAGGCGTAAGCTACCCACCCTCTCCCCTTATACCCACTAACTAGCCCAGCGTCGCGCGCACCGACCTCGACTCCTCCCCCACCCCGCCGCCCTCTCCCCCGCCCGCCCTGCTCTCCGCGCTCGAGGCCCGCGCGCCGCTTACATTCGCCCCGGCCCCCGAGCGCATATCTGAACAAGTACATGAGGATGAGACGGAGGTCGAGTTTAGGCTGTTTGCTACGGAGAAGCCGCGGGCTATTCGTGTGCGCTCGCCGACGCCGAATTTGAACCCGGGCTTCGTGGCCCCGCGGCCGGAGGGGTGGTACCGCGCCCCCGGACCCGATGACCGGATGCACGCGGCTGCGGTTACAGGGAGGGATGTGGGAAGATGGGCGGGTGTGCGCTGGCCGGGGATGACGTACTCGTGGCGCGTGGTGCGGGTACGGGGGGAGGTTAAGGCGGGAGAGAGGGTAGAGGGGAAGATAGAGGGAGAGGAGCAGAGGGCGACGAAGAAGAAGAGGAAGGGGAAGAAAATGAGGATAGCGTTGAGGGAGAAGATTAAGATGGAGAAGGAGAAGGAGGTGCAGGAGAGGGCGAAGAAGGCGAGACGGAATCGGGAGAAGAAGTTTAAGAAGAGGGCGAGGGATAAGGTAAAGAGGGCTGCTGCGAGGGGGGAGGAGGGGGAGGGTGGGAGTGGGAGTGGGAGTGACGATGGGGGGAGCGAGTAGGGATGGCACGTTGTGGGCTTGAGCCTGTGAGAGGATTGAGGCTTTCCACGTCGGAGAATTGGAGGGATTGGTAAGGGCACATGGGGATTTTCCTTCGAAGCTAACGAGAGACAGTGACCACGGCGTGGAAAAGCGTTCTGCATCATAGTAGAAGCTTGAGAACTGGGGATACGCCTTCCGGATGCCACTGACCCGCCCAAGTGGCCCTATGGCTGTCACTCAGATCTGCCCCTTCGGTCCTGATAGAGCTCAACATCACGGCCGAGTAGATCACAGGCATCACAGGACACAATCGCGCCTCCAATCTAGCATTCAAGAAATACACAAAAGTGGGATATACAACGAACAGGATATACATCTCTCAACCCACAACCCACACCCCTACCCCCTCCTCAACCCCAGCGTAATAGCCTCATTCCCCCCCCCCAACCCCAAATAACACGGCACGCCCCACGTACTCGGACACGGATCCCACATGCGATACACCACCTCCCGTTCAATAGCATTAACCCGATCCACATCCTCCCTCTGCAGCGGGCACCTAAACGCCTGCAGATTCTCCTTCTGGTGGTCCACCCTCTTCGCCCTAGGGTGCACGATTACTCCCCTTGCCATGTTCCAGGCGAGGGATACCTGCGCAGGCGTGCAGCCCCGCGCGGCACCGATGCTGAGGAGCGTGGGGTGCGTGAGGAGGGGTTGTGGGAGGTGCGCGGAGGAGGCGCTGGTGTAGCGCCCGCCGCTCATGCCGCCGGGCCGGTAGGCGGGGTTTGTGTCGCCTAGCGGGGCGTAGGCGGTTACGGTTATGTTGTGGGTGCGGTGCAGGGCGAGGAAGGGGGTTTGTTGGAGGTAGGGGTGGAGCTCGAATTGGTGCACCTGGGGCGGTTAGTTCTCAGCATTCCAAAGAAGGGGGGCGCAAACGCACCTTGGGCTTTATGCTCGCGGCCTTGAGTAAATCCTCCAGCTGCGTGACGTTGAAGTTGGAAATCCCGATGAAGCGCGTTTTGCCCGCCTCGGGGGCGTTTTTGGCAGAGACGATCTTCTCCATCTCCTTCCACGTTGGGATGATGTCGTACTCGCTCTTGTTCCCGTTCGTGGTGCCGACGGGGAAGTGCATGAGGGTCAAATCGAGATACTCGAGCCCGAGTTGCTTGAGGTTGAGCGCGAGTCCGCTCGGGACGAGCGCGCCATGTCTGTCTTCATCAGCCCCACCCTCCACATTTCCCAGCTCCCCTCTTTCCCCAACATACCTGGTACTCCAAAGCTTACTCGTAACCCACAAATCCTCCCTCCTCAACCCCGTCCGTCTCAACCCCTCCGCTATCCCCTTCCCAACCGCCTCTTGGTTCTGATATGCCGTCGCGCAGTCAATGTGCCTATACCCGAGCTCGATGGCCGATGCGACGGCCTCGGTGGCGTTGGCGGGCTCGTCCAACATCCAGGTGCCGAAGCCGAGTTTGGGGGGGTCGGTGTGGGGCCCGGAGGGGGGCGATATAAGGCTCCAGGGGGTGTGGAATTGGGCTGAGCCCAGTGAGGCCAGGGCG